CTTTCTTTGATATATAAATTGAAGTACTAATTTCCAATTTCGATCAAAAAAAATATCATTGAATTTGATCATTTCAACATATGAGTTATATAAATAAAATTGAATTTTTCTCAAGAAATATGTCATGACATGAGCTTTAAAATATTCAAAGATTAAAGTCATAATGTATGTATCTTTTCCAAAATTTTAACATGAACATTGATGTAGCTTAGAAATTTCAAAACTATTAAAAATTCGTAAGATTAATATTAGACAAGTTGATTTTGATTAGTTTAATCTATAATCAATTAGATTTTTCAAAGCTATGTAACTTAAATTAAATTATTTAACATAAAAAATTTAATATTTCATTTCAATTGTGTGATCTTAAAATTTTTATTTATAAAATTATCTTTTATGAGATTGAACTAGATATAAATTGAATCTTTATTTGTGTTTTTTGTTAATAATCTTCACAAATAGGCAGAAAAAAATCACTCAAAGATTATTGCAAGATAAAATAAAGACAGATAGTTGCAATCTATTATAATCAATATAAATTTCAGTTGTAAATCATGAAAAATAATGAACAAAAATAAAATTAAACCAGTATTCATATAATATACAAAAGATTTTATAGCAACTATCTTGTAAATCTTCCACAAGTGTTGCCAAATAATCATGTGTCAGTTAATAATGATAAAAATAATAATATCATTATTGTATGTAATAACAAGCATCAATAAATGTTAAGTAATCAGGTTGATACTAAAATGAAACCGTTTTTATAAGATAAATAAAATATGCCAATTATCAAAATCAACACATTGTCGTCATCATCATCAGTTTTGGTATAAGTATTATCAAAAATATATGAATAAGCTAAAAATCTTCACGTTGCATTGTTTTATCAATTTAATTTTATGATTTCAGTATAAATGAATATAAATGAATTTTAGTATGAATACTTCATTGATAATATTCATTCATAGAATTAAAAATAAAAATGATATAGCCAATAAAATAAAAAAACAATCTAATTTTTCATGTGCATAAAAAATATGCTATAATTTTTTGAATTTTTTTTAAATCATAAAATTTTTGAATATAATATGACTCATTTACTTGAAATTTTTAAAAATATAATAAAAAATTGAATTAATTGATTTAAATTTTTGAATAAAAATTTATTTATTTTCCTTCCAAAAATCTAGATCTTTGTAGCAAAATACACATATCATCAATATTACTTGATGAGATGCATAGGGAATATTTTTTGTTTTTGTTTACAAGAAAATCAAAGATTCATTCCGAGTTGCACAAAGTAAGTTCTTGTTGGATAATCTTAAAATTTACACAAATCAAATCATAAACAGGTTCTTCTAAAGGAAGCTAAAGATGCCTCAAACAAGAAAAACACAAAATTGTTAAAAGAAGCCAAATTTCTTGTATCACTGATGAATGAAGTGACAAATTAAGTTGGGTTAATTTTACATTATAACATTAAATCAAACATAGATTGATGAGAAATATCAATGACAGATTGCATACCAACACAAGGTCATCTGAAATATATTGTTATGTTGGTTATTTGTTGTCTCTCTTGGCTACTTGTTTGTTGTTGACTACTTATTTGTCTTCACTTTTCGCTGTTATATTATAATTAAAATTCGAATTCAATCTTCAAAAGCAAACAAAATGAAAAAACAATCAACATCAAAAGCATTTGATATATTTCAAATAGTTATGTCCACATAATATAATCTTGTGTTGCAAGTACATACATTCATTAAATTTTTATAATCATTGCTATCCTTATCTAGCTTACCAAAGTTAAACTTTTAGAAGAAATAAGATCAAATTCAAATTCTATCTAGATTTTTTTCAATAAAAATTTAATCTTTATAAAAATAAGAAATAATTTACTGTCACTCATTTATCATCTATCTAAAAAATTAGATAGTCATTTTATCTTATTGGATTGAATAAATAAAATTGAAACTTTTGCAACAATTCATATTTGTATTTGATTTCAGCAATTTTTCCAGATATTATCTGAAATTCATGTTATTTGAAAAATTAAATACCATATTTTTTTCCTTTTAAGATACTGCTCCTATAAGTAAATCTTAATCTTATTTTAATATAATTGTAAAATTTACTGGAATAGGTTAAATGATATTTTAGATGAAATAAAATTTTAATGTCATATATTATTGTTACAATCGATATATTGAATATTTTAACGATAAATTAATAAAATAACATAATAAAAATCTTAAAAAATCATTTATAAGAATTTATTATATTATATTTATTGACATAAATTCCAATGAATTTATTTTGAAATTAAAATATTTTTTCACATTGCAATAAATTTGATTATTAAAATTATTCATCTACACCCTTGCATATATTTCAAGAATGTAGCTACATGTTATCACAATAATGTCTTATAATTAAGATGAATAATTTTAATATCAAATGTTCATCATGTTATCATATAATTTTTTTTGAAATTGATGATTATCAATATATAAAAAAATTCCTCTTTCACAACAAGCATTGTTAAGAATGAAATATGGATTGGCAATAAAATGTTGTGATAAGAGAGATTAGTTTTTGAGATTGAGAACATTTTGGCCTTTGCATTAGATGCAAAAATACAAACGTTCATTAGATAAGTCATCTACTTATGTTTATATAAAATTTTGAAGAAGCAATTCTGCACATAAAATTATAAAAAATTATTTATCATGAAATAATGGTTTTATTCAGTGGAAATTTGAAAAATTCAGTGATATTGACTTTTTCCTGAATGAATATAAATCATTCAAAGAGAACCTTTTTTTTTCTTAAAATGACTAGACATGGCATATTAGAAATAATTGTAAAATCTCATGTTCATTATCATGCTTAGAAGTATAATGTAGTTAAATTTGAAAAATCTTTGGCTAAATCTGATTCATTACTTGTGTATTGCACGTGTAAACCTACTAGTTTAATATCTTGCTTGTCATTTTTCACAAATATCAGCAATTATTCTCTCTTGTGATGTGTGGGTGGACTTATCCAATGATTTATTGGTATATCATCATGTCTTACTTCATACAAATATCAGTATCAATGCCCCCTCTATGTAAGTGTGCATTCCATGATTCACACAAACTCTCACTAAGATTCACTCAAGTCCACAAAAAAATAGATTATCAAACAAATCTTGAAATGTGCTTTCTCCAAGACTTGATTGAAAGTTGCTTGTAAATGTTTCTATGAACATTATTTAAAATATAATTCTACAATCTGAACAACAATGCATTTTTTTACAATACATTTGATATAGATCACCAAATTTACTAAACATAATGCATGAAACATCTCATTTGTTCAAATTTGATCTCTAGAAGCTCAATTTGTCCTTCAATTGACCATGCCACATGCCATTGGTCCACTAAGATATATCTGAGTGTACCGGGAAAAAATAAATTTTTAATCAAATATCACTTAGAACATATAATTCGAACTAGATCTTAAGTAGGTTAACCTAGGAATCACTACGATACACGTAGTCACAATTTATGTAGTCAAATGTATCAACATGAGTCAGAAAGTCGGACACTTAACTTTGTATTACTTAGTGATCTTCATGAAAATAGGAAATAACATATATCGTGTTCAATAATCCAAGCTATCACATGCTAATTTACTAAGTATTAAGCAAAAAACCCGTCTAAGCTTCTCATATGGTAAACGATAGAGCTGTATGAAATAAGTATGCACTTAGAAACTTGGAGTCAAAAAGCCCCACAAAAGATATTCACTTTTGTACGGATAAATCCATCATGAATAGTTGTATTCTATGGGATACTCTAAGTGACATGATCGTGGATGTTACGTTACGTATGGATCATATACTAAATAGTACAGTGATACTTTCTTTTATATATATATATATATATATATATTAATTATCCGAAACTTAATTAATTAATCATATAATGCACTGAACATCACATCAACTGAAACGAATTTATAACTATCAAAACAGAAATTATATTTCATGCAATACATGTAAGATTAATCAGTCCATTCTGTATGAGAGAAAATTTGTTGATTATATGAATAGAAAATCATATTTTTTTACGTACTATGATTATAATGAAACTATTGTAGCGAAATGAAAAGATCGGGGAAAAACCTGACATACCTTTAGGATTAAGTAACGAATGTATGTGTGAATCCACCCGATCTCCTTGGCTAGTCACTTCTCGCGGGTCCGTCGAGAAGGGGAAAAGGGTGCCGACAACTAGGAAGTGGGACAACGTAGGGCTTTTTGAAATTACAGTACGATCTGAGTCCAGGTGGTAAATTCGGAGTCCGATGAAGTGAATCTCTGTTATACGGATGGAGTTTCTGGTTTCACTTATTAAGAGCGGGGTTGGTTAAGATCTACGTGACAATGAGGTGACGCCATCAAAGCAGCCGGCTGTGCGCGAAAGTACGTCTTCTAGAGACTTCAGTTCGGGACACCGGAAGCCCGTGGGCGATGAGAATTGAACTGCTGCCCGGAAGGACGCGGCTCTCCATCTTGGGACGAGTACGCCCCAAATGCCGAGAATCTGGCAGAGCAGTTGTCCAAGAGTGGCTAGTACATTCGAAGCTGCTGCACTCAGAGACGATGGAGGCGGTGACCAGAGGCAGATCGATGGACAGAGTCGGGAGATATGGTGAGCGCGGTAACGACAGGAGCTGCAAAAGTGGCGTGGAGGTCTGAGCGACGCAGAGGCCAGTTCACAGCATTAAAGTCTGAATCACTCGAGTTTCCGTAGAATATGGTTTATAAAATCATAAAAACATATCCTTGGAGAGTGTCGAGTCAGTCGTGCTATTCATTATCACTTGCGAGACCTTCGAAGACGGACGCCAAGTACGTACTGCAGGTACCAGCCCCAGCCTGCGAGGAGCCAGTTGCGTTGTGTAACTGCATCATGCTGCAGCTGGTGGAGTTGTAGACTCGGCGTGGGTAACTTCGATCATCTCTTACTTGACGTGTACAGCGAAAACGCATTTTCGCAGCAGTCTATCTCTGATGGAGAAGAAGGGTCCTGTAGCGTGAGATTCGTAGGTTGTACATAGCTGAGCTACAGCTAGCTCAACGCAACTTTGCACGTACATCTTATATCACGCATGGAGCTGACCTCTCAAGCCGCACCATCTGGAAGTCTGCTCATTCTGGATGTATGGAACTCGGACGGTACAAGTAAAGGTCAGATGCTGAGATTGAACTCTACAGCACCTGAGGGTAAGAGGTCTAGAAAGTGAGAAAACCTTCCGGGCTCCTCCCTCTGGCACGGGATTTTAACCTGCATATGGATTTCATTCAGCTGAATTGCATATATGGATGGAGTCAAGGAAATGTGGGTGAAATTCACAGTCATTGGACGTGACACTCCACCAGTATATGAGTTCATGGCATCTTTGCAAACTCACCGTGCGGATCTGAGGTCCTCACCGGCATCCGCTGGTGCTTCCCATGCTCTGTAGTGAAAGTCTCCCCCCGGCAGCCGCGATCATGGATACTCAGTTGCACGGTGGAGAACTTATCGTAATGCAGAGCCCTGCCAACGAGAGCGCGAGAGCCACAACTCTTGTGATCCACCAAGCTCAGAATGGTGGCTACAGAGATCTGAATTCGTCGAATGCTACACCCACCACTGTTGCAGAATGCCCAGCCGATGTGCCAGCACCTATTAAGGTGGAGAGTTCATATGGACTCAAGAACACCACTGACTGCTCACCATCTATTGCTGCCAAGAATACGGGCCCTTATGACCCCGAAGGCGGCGCGAAGAAACGCAGACGTGGTGGCTGGGTCACAACTCCATTTATCTTTGGTAACGACTCAACCTTTCCAGAAGTTGATATCGCGTACTTTTTATGATATCTGTAGCGTTAGGAATTCGTTAAGAGAACGATGCTTTGCAAGCACGGGATGAATCCAAGCTCGTCAAAGGTTCTGAGACAGAAGAAGACGTAAACATCATTCTTCTTACGTTGGGATGTATATCTGAAGTATATTTGTTCTGAACGGTTGGTTTATAGCCAACGCTGGAATATAATGGTTTGACTCCGCATGGTGATGTCTGTTGACAATTTGAACACTCGTCTGATGCTACATTATGAAATCTTGTCCTCCTTCCAACATACTTTATTTTAAGTGTAGGTAGTCACGTCTTTGGAAAAATATTGCCCAAGCTTGTTTCTTGATATGCTTTTGTAAGCAGCCTTGATGTCACATTTTATAAGTTCCAGCATAGGTTCAAACAGTCACGAGAATATCGAACAAAAAACACGAAGGTAATACTGCGAGCTACTTTCAACTTCCAGCGCAGTAACACCTTTGGGACTTTGGATTGTGTCTTTGTTCGTCCTTCGCTGTTGAGATGTTCATCTTGAGCTTCTGCAGTTTCTTTAAAAGGTCTTCTCTAACCTTGACCCACATCTGAGACTGGAATGAATTGCTTTCAAGTCTGAACGTGAGCTGGAAATGTACCACAGGAGCTGAGGCAGCAGAGCGACTGGCAGTTACTGGTTCGCACACGAACTTGATCTCGTACTTGGTCAATGAAATGCACCAGAAGACCTTGCCATCAGCAACGATCCTCAACACCTTCTCAAGCACATCAGGCTGGGCGCCTTTGCTCGGTGCATTTGTAGCTGATTCTTATTTGGGCCGCTATGCAACAATCTTATATGCCTCATTCATATATTTGGCGGTGAGTTTGTAGTGCTCTGTGTTTAGTTCTGGCCATGAGTATTTTTCAAAAGCCTCACTTGCAGGCAGTAAATTCTAGAACGAACGCTGTGTCTCAGCTAGTGCGCCAAATGTTGCTCATTCAGAAATTTTATTCTGAAAAAGTCGCGACTCCTGTTTACCGTCAGTTCCAGAGCACTTTTGGTTTACAGTGCAGTTCTCATCTCATCCACTCATTATCCAGATCCTCGACATGAACCCTTTATTATACCCGCCTACAAAACAAGAAAATTGGAGTCTTATATGTTGCAAAACAGCGATCATCCCATTGACGAAAGAGTACCGCATGTGGTGGTTTGCTGGCTCACCCCACTATTTGATAAATTTGAACCTTGTTTTCGTGACTTGTGACGTCCTCAAGCTTGCGTGTATAATGATCTACATTTGCAAACTGACATTTGTACCCCGATCTGTACAGATTTGTAGGTCGCTAGACTCAGCTTTCATGGAGACAAGCTTGCTAGTTCGTTTAAGTCGATGTCAAGTACAGCCTTTGACATCCGAGGACACACACAGCCATAGTGCTTTCTTAAAAAAATGGACTCCTTTGTGCAGGTGTACCATTCCATTTGAACCGATCGGAATCACCAGTCATATTCTTCGTAGGCTAGACTTTGCACGTTTAACCTGTCGGTGAATGGCATTTGATCCTTAGGACAGCCTCTTATGTGAAGCCCTCATTAAATTTATCTTATATTGAGGATTTCTAATGCGCAGGACCATTTGAGGGCTCACTGAGAGACTATACCAATCGTTTTTGATACTGAATCCTAGCCATGTTCTAACTGCTTCGACATTGTTCAAAACAACTTATCATCTTCACAGAAAGCTGGACCCGCTCTTCGAGATATTTTGTCAGCACAAATGTCAGTCAATCTTTTCTACCTTCTAACATGTACTTCTTCCCGAGATCGCATCGTAGGCGAATTCAAAGGCGCAGGTTGCAAAGACTGTGGTGCAAAGGTTACAGTACTAGTCATCGAAGGCGACAATTGCACTCGAGTGTTGGACACGAGTTCGAATGACGCATCCCAGAGCTCAAATCGTGTTCTGTATATAATTATATATCATCTCACATCGAAAAGCTTCTTTGTATTAGCATGCGCAGACGCCAGACGAAACTTGTCAGTGACAAGAAAGGGTAGAGGCTCACCCACTAGAGACTACAGGTCCAGAATCCACTTCGTGACGATGATTACCCACGTCCACCCAGCTCACACCGTCTGATTTCATGCCTAGACCCATGTTGGTATGGATGGCAGGACCTTACGACTCATTATATCCAGAGTCTGACGACTCCATCAGTTCAGCTCGTGTGACGTTTACCTTGACAATGATTTCCTCAACTGCTCTGTAACCTCGAACCGCGTACAAGAAGCAAGCACTTGTACTTCAACACAGCTCTGTGCCATGCGAATGATCGTTACATGAATCCCGTCCCGACAGCGGCCTGTCAAGTTTGTAAAGAGAGAAAGTCCGGACGTGCTGTACGAAAAGACGGACCATCTGCTTCGCTCGACATCGCTTTGCTCATGTCAACCCCACGCGAGCCACACACGAAAGGTATCTACGTGACCTACGTGACGAAAGGTATCTAAGGACCTGCGTGCGCCTGACAAGAAGCCTGACGCTCATGTCCAGACGGCAGGTCGAGACTTTGAATACGAATTGATCCTGATATAAGCTAAAATTAATTATTTAAGCTTTAGTTTCTTCCGATGGAGTTTAGCATCACTCGTTTCACGCCCAAATTATGACGGTCGGGTCTGTAGCTCGCCCGTCGTTGCCCGCAGTTCTCACAACTCAGAAAGTCAGCTGCAGAGACCGGCTCCGAGTTTCCATGCAGCTAGTGACAAGATTATTATGCACGTACCGGGACTTATTTTGATGATTCTGCTCTTTCCGATCGACGCAGGGGCTGATCCTCATCACGATGTCCGCCATACTGCCGTCGCTGCAGCCGCCACAATGCGCGTTGGAGGACGACGATTACGACGAAGACATGAGCGGGTGCATAAGGGCCACCAATGTGCAGATGGGAGTGGTTTATCTGGCCTTGTCTCTCATGGTGGTGGGATCCGGGGGCATCCGGCCTTGCGTCGGGCCTTTCGGAGCCAGTCAGTTCGATCAGTCCGATCCCAAGGAGAACGAGCAGATCAAATCGTATTTCAACTGGTACTACTTCAGCGTCATGGGGGCGACATTGGTCGCCTCGACGGTCATCGTTTATATTCAGGAGAATGTGAGCTGGGGATGGGGGTTCGGAATCTCGGCTGCTGTCATGTTTCTGTCGATCTTCTCGTTCGTCTGCGGCTCGTTCCTCTACCGATTCAGTTATCCTCAGGGGAGCGCTTTCACACGAATGGCCCAAGTGATCGTCGCCGCCGCTCGCAAGCGCCGCCTCGCTCTGCCTGCGGACCCGAGTTTCTTGTACTACGGCCGCTTCGAAGATGACAGCGACTTCGACTCCAGCAGCTGCTGCAACTCGTCTGAGCATTCCAAGGAGATGAAAGCTCTCCCCGACTCGAAGAATGGCGAAGTCATGCATTCGAGGAAGTGTACCGGGAAGGACTCAGGGAATGCGGCTGCGGTACTCAACGGCGAGGAAAACGAGAATTCGATGATTCGCTCGTCCAAATACGACGAGAGGCCGTCGTTTCTGACGAACAGCCGCCAGTTCAGGTGCACATCTCATAATCTATTCGGTCTTCGAAATTCGTTTTGACTCGAGGTAGAACAGATCTACTTATGTGATGCTGACGTTGTCGACTCGTATTTTATGATTTCCCTCGGAACAAATAACTCACGTCGATCTTGCCGTAATGGATCTGGACTCTGGACTTGCTCGTACAGAGTACGATCAACGGAATTCACACGCCCACTTTCGGATTCTAGATATTTGTCTTGTTCGACCAAATACGGTGTCAGGAGCATAATCCCTACAAAACTTCAAACGATTTAAGGGTTGTCACCTTGTCGGAGGAAATTCTGGTTGACTTAGACATTCACCCTTTAGGGAAGCAATATGGTACTCGGTACCTACTCCTGTAGGATGCGAATCTATCTAACTTCTGATTCCTCGAGACCACGATGCTGGTCTATTGAATGGACTGTCAGTCGAATTTCCTTTTGATGAGATTCTTCTCATGTTCAGAATCCTTTCGCGAATGCCCGTTGTTACCCCTAGTTTGCGAAGAAGAATATACTCTTGCGAATAATTGAGTCCCGTGGGATAAATGCCCATTTCTTTGCTGTTTTTTAGACTGAATCTGCATTAATCTATTTGGTGCCCCTGCTTTCGGTAGTTACATCGAGACTTTTTGAGTTCGCATGTGAACTGTACAGCAATGATGAAAATAGTTTATGCATTGCATTCTAAGAGATGAGAGCCACTCAACTCCACAGCATAACTTTTGACATTCTCCCCGAATAAGCACATTGGAGTTATTTTTTGAGAAGGTTCTTGGATGCCTCGAATTCTTATAGTAGCAAATTGTCTATCCCTTGAATGCAGTATTCTGAAGATAGACAAGAACCTGGTTCTTATGATTGCCAGAAGCACTTAGTTTCTTTCGAATCACTGCCTTCTTTCGAAGAGGGCATCTCACAAAGATCTGAAATTCCTCTGCTAACAACGATAATGATTGCCAGTGAAGAATTCTTATTGTCAACCGACCAGCTGCCCCAGCTGAAACTTCTCCCATGCTATTGATCTCATTTCTTTCTCAAACTCTTCGATACCTCGTTTCTGAAGCCACGAAGAAAATCGAGTGATGAGTGAGCACGGAATGAACTTTTTGAGCCATCAGACTACTAAGAGATTGATGTCATGTTGGATGGATTGGAAGCAGGTTCTTGGATAAGGCGGCGATAGAAACAGAGTCGGACTGGGAGACCAAAAAGAACCTTTTCGGGGAACCTGTGACAGCGAAATTGAACCCATGGAGGCTGTGTCCAGTTCGACAAATTGAGGAGCTGAAAAGTCTTCTCCGCCTAATGCCCATGTGGGCTACAGGCGTGGTGACAGGCATTTTGGTGGCACAAACACCTACATATCTCGTGCAGCAAGCTCGAACTATGAATCGCCATATGGGTGGCTTCAACGTCCCTCCCGCCAGCATCCATGTGATCAGTACTATAACAATTGTCGTGTGGCTGCCTGTATTCGATCGAATTTTGGTCCCCAAATTAATTGCTCCTCGGACCGGGAACCCAAGAGGTCTCACATATTTGCAGAAGATAGGCCTCGGTTACAGTTTGCACATGATTGCCGCGGCCATTGCTGTGGTCGTTGAGCATGAGAGGCGAGCCGCAGCAAGGCACTATGGACTTGTCGATAAGCCTCATGAAGTGATTCCCTTCTCGGTTTGGACACTTGTCCCTCAGCTTGTTCTGGATGGATTGGGCTCCTGCTTCGGATTGATCGGGCATTATGAGTTTTACTATCACATGGTTCCGGAGCACCTCACCAGTACTGCGTCGGCGCTGAGCCAGACTTCCACCGCTCTGGGCACTCTCTTGGCGAGTGCTCTTCTAAACCTGGTCCAGAGCTTGACGAACCACGGTCCCAATCACCCAGGTTGGCTCGATGAAAATCTGAACAAAGCGCACCTGGACTATTACTATATCATCATGTTCGGTCTGATGTTCGTAAATGTCGCTATCTATTACCTTGTGGTAGCCAAGTGGTACAAAAGGCAGCTCATGGGTTGCTGAAGCAAGCACTTCTTCGCAAATGATCGACCGGTTAGTGCAGGATTCTTCCTGCTTAAGAGATCCAGTCGAAATCGAAGTGAGCTTGGGGATTCCTTCTTCAGCACCACAGCAGTCTCGGAAACTTTGGTATCATTTGATAGGGGTTCGCTTTCTCTATCCAAGATCCTCGATTTGGCTGCTTTGGGACTGCAGATATCTTCGTGCTTATAACGTACAGAGACATTGAGTGTCAATGTCATGTAGCATAGGTTTGTTAGTGTGAATATGAGCCTTCCAAGTCCAGTTTTAGTAGGGGAATATTGCAGATGTAATTCACATTTTTCCTCCTGATCAGCTTGGTGATTTGTCGTGATTGCATAAACCTGAAGGCGGATTGTAGAAGTAACTAGTTGTACGTACTAGTATGGCTGAAGATCGAGAACAAGCCCATGATCAGTCATCACCTCGGTGCATGTTCAGGCTCGTTAGTTTCCAGATCACTAAGAGTGTACAAACATCCACATCTCGACGACCTCTGAAGAATATGCCAGATGTACTGTACGGCCAGTGTAAGATATTTTTCTTCTCGAAATAACATACTCCAATCTTATTACTTAATGTTTACCTGAAATCTCGAAGATTCTATTCTCATCTATGTGACTCTACTTTGGGAAGCTGAAGAATGACTCCAAACTTCAAATCAAACCATTCCAAAGCACCAATTGCAATACAATAATTTCAAGCAGTTTATGAAGAGGCACAAGAGTCAGCTGCAATGTCCGAGCAAGATTGTAACCAGCGAAAGTAAGAGATTGAAATAAGCGAGCAGGGAGTAAACGATGGTGGCAGCGGAGCAATATCAGATAATGAAAGAGCACAGCAACTGCGGATGGAGCAAAAGCTCATCGGAATTCGAGTCGAGCAAGAAGCCATGAAGATGAAAGAAATCGATGCGAAGTTGGTTTAGTTTGAAAACCAGAGTAATTTAGGAACTCTCAGTGAAGGATGGGTTGGTATCGTAGTTTCTAATAACAAGATTGTATGTTACATTTTCATTCATTATTTACACAAAGGGCCTTGGGCAATTTCGGAAAAACCTCATATGATAAATAATACACAACATGTGTCATGTAGCTTTAGACTATTATAATCTATGAAAATAGGATGAACATATCCGATAAATTCCATTCTTAGCCACTCAAATAATGAACATTGAGAGTAGTAATCACTTTGCTCTAATGTGGAGGTTGTATGAACTAAAACTTTCTAGTTTGTGCAAACAAGATAGTCATGACATATGTAGTATTGGCATATACACAAGTTTTTGTCAATTTAAGTAGACGTTACATCTTCACACAAGACTACATTTGACAAAGGAAAAGGATAGAATCTCGCAGCATTGCATAACAAAGTAAGGAAAATTGAAAATGGATAATTATGATAAATTGTGCGATTTTAATTTCTGTGCACTTACAGCTCAGCATTGGCACAAACAAGTACAAACAAGAGTCATCTGTAGCCATAGGATGAACTCAATGCCTGAAAACCAAGAAACTGAACAAGCAAGATCATCCACTGAAGTAAATACCTAAAAATTTATCACCTTAAAAGATTGATGCAATAAGAGCAATAAAGTATTGTGTTTTTTGGGCCTTGTCTTCTAGATCGGGTATAAATATAAATTTTTGTGATGAAAATATTTTAGTGTAATTGTAACTTATTTAAAGCAATTGAATCAAGTTAACAGTATTTGCCTTTCAATCCCAGAAAATGTAACAATCAAACTAACCATAAATATCTGAGACGCAAAGTCTTTGATTTGTTTGAAACTTAATTGTTAGTCAACAAATAATGCATCAAAGGAGAATTTTTATTTTGGCTTAATTTTCACTTAATCTACCATGAGGCTAGTTATTTATTTCCGTGGGTATAACCGCAGATTTTTCTCGGCATCTTTTTTTTACCATCCGTTCATTCTGTCTTCAAGACTTTTGTGCTTTAAAGAAAAAATATGTTTAACAAACAACGTCAAGCTTAATACAATCTTATTATAGACAAACCATATTTTGTGCTAAAAGCTGGGATTGTCAGGTGACCGTCCATTTCAACATCTTGCACAGTAACCTTTCAAACATGACTCGTCATTTTTCAGAGCAACATAGGGACATTTATTTCATGGAATGGTCGCTTCTGTATTTACTTAGGTGACTTTCCGGTTTCATATTTTGGTCCTCAATCAAACATGAGGCGTCATTTTACAAAGTGATATGCGGGATTATATTTCACAAATAAAATATTACTGTAGTTCCTTAACCTTTATCATTCCGTTCCATCCTCAAGACAACGATAAATTTTTAGGTTCTTAACTACTATTGATCATCAGGGCTCTTCAAATATGGCATTTGGAGGTGCTCGTGCCATATTTGTTATACATAATTTTTTAGTGATACCATATATAAGATGGAAGTCAGAGTCCCCGTTTGCTCTTGTCCTTTGTTGTTCACGGATTATTGTTTATGAAATCTCGTCAAAGAAGCGCAATAAGCCGTTTTATGTCTCTCATGAACATGAGTATGGATTGAAGATCCTCACGCGAAAACCGTCGTCTGTTATCGTTATATTGGTATTGTGTTATTTTTCTCAAGTATGGAGCCGTGAAAAAAAAGGCGGACAAAAGCTAGAACCGCAAAATACTTTAAGATTTCATATCTACCAGAGTTGTACTCACAGCATCTCAAAAGCGAACACTGGGTGAAGTGGAGTGAGTATCTTGCTCCGAAACTAGTCTACAAACAAATGTTTTCTGAAACTATTCCTTTCATGAATACTATCCATGTTCATTTTGTTGGATCTTGTGATTAGCTATTCTGATATTAACATAAACGTCGTCAACACAATTGCACTACCTTGTATTTGATCTTGAATCTGAGGATATTTCCATTGATTTAGCAAGCGAAAAAATGTACTCCGCAAAACATTGGAATCCATAGAATTTCATGAAACATGGATTAATTTTGAAACTTTTATTTCCTGCTACGAGTGTGGAGGATGATTTCTGTGTGGTTAGTTGGGAAAAACATAAATACAGATTTTACTTAATGGATTCTTCATTTGAGGACATAACGACGCATTGTTAGCAATTCAAGCAAATTAACATTGTGATCATATTTATCATAAATAAAAATTGGCTGATGCCATATTACATTGATTTATGTCAAAATTGGCCATTGCCAAGTTAGCAGAGGCCTGTTGATCATGCAGTAAACCATCTTACCATCCTCATTTTTGATATCCTTGATTGCAGTAAGACATAATCCCTATCTAAGTGCTCATTTTGTCGGCAATTGTGAAGGAGTCAAGAAGATAATGAATAAAAAAAATTAACAACATCAAACCATATATGGATGTTTGGTTTCATCCTTGTATGGCTTGATAGGGTGTTATCGTCTTTTTTAAATACAACTAGGCGATGCCTATTTTGAAACTATGATTTATTGAAACCTCCATAGGATCAAACCCTAACATGGGTGCAATGTGAAGATTCAATGTGGGTGAGTTTGATAAAAAAAATTTGTTATAAAATTTTAGTTCGTTGAGGAAGCTGAAGATTCATATAAACCTCCATGTTGCATTAAAGGCCTCATTGGTCTTAAAACTTCACTAAAAATGTTATAAATTAGGTGGTTTGCTATATGGTGGGATTCGAAAAGCAGTTGATTTACTACTCCAAAAGTTGGTTCGTTTGACGGGAGTTGATTATGTGCCCACGAGATAAGTTCCAGTAAAAAATGTGAGTCTTACCTGAGTAGGATGTTTAAAAAATTTAATTATATACGAGAGTAAAGAACTGTAAATCATTTTAACAGCCATATGAGAAGAGTTTATTGAATGCAATCTTACCCAAGATTGCATACTCTAAATTAGAGTATACATTATCCGTATCCAGCATCAACAAATTGCGCTCTTGCCGATATAAATATCCCTTAACTTAAAAGTTCATGAACATGACATGAACTTTTTTTAATTACTTCCTCTTTCTCATCACATTTGCATTCAAATTGGATTCAAATCTCGTTGAAGAAAACTTTGCTCTTCAGTATCTTCGAATAGTAAATCGTTTTAAACTGACAAAGATTTATTTTTTCCTATGGAGCCTATCTATTTCGTTATAATTACCTTCCTCTAAATGACTTTCGTAATAATCACACAAGTTTTAATACGAGATTAGCTTTTGATGAGAGCATCTTGAAAAAAAAAATCACTCCTAAAAGTATCGACCTGGAAGGTCAAATAACTTCCAAGGTGTGAATTCTCTCGTTCTTAAAACTTAACAGGGATATGTACACATTGTCAAGTGACGTAATATGCTTCGATATATAGATAATGCACAAAACAGAATAGGTGTTTCTTTTACTATATTATAAAAAACTTTCGTTTCTTTTTTGAGGTATTACTAAATTAAAAGTATAAAAAGTACATCAGGAAAGTATTTTACACATCACACTAGATCTATATGGATCCCTAGTTATATTCAATAACTATTCCTTCTTACAATGGTACATGAGTTTGTAGGTTTGATTACATTGGTGAATACAGGTCTTAGAGTTTGTCTGTACATAGGGATGTGAAATTATGTACAGTCACGTTCCTGCATGAAATTGACAGTTGACTAGAAGGAAGAGTTTTTTGGTAGACCTTACAGATTCAGGTAGTAGCGTGCCCTCGCCATGTCCTGCTACCTCAGAAACATACATCGGGCTTTAAATCTGACATTGCGAAAACATTGTCTACTACTGCTCGGACTCGACGTCTCAGGCTCGTCCAACCAACACGTTTGCCGTTCTAGTAACACGAGCATACTTTGACACACCGGTTACTGAACTTTGGAACACCACAGTCTTTTAGTGTTTCAAGTTTCCCGCGTGACATGGTGGATCAATTGTTTTGTTTCAGTCCAAGTGCGAGTGGAAGTTTGTCCACATATTCGGCCGGACTTGAATACTAAGTTTGGACTAAGTTAAGGCGCAATATTCTGATCACTTGCCAGTGGAAAAATAGGTTCGGCAATGTTTTATATATCATCAGCAGACATCCACCCGTAACCAACTGTCAGATGTCATCCTGCATCTGCCCATACTCGACAACTTGCATACGCCTATGATATTCCACCCTGAAGTTCGCAGCTGGAAGTGATTTCAATGGTAGTGAAGCAAATGCTTTCCTGTCTGCTGAGATCAACATTTGAGGCCACAAGCTGAAGTAGAGAAATATTCTCCAACTGTATAATCTTTACTTCTACAATTGTATACATACAAAGCTGGTTTACTAACAGCTCGTGGCTGGAATGTGCTTCTGAAAGACATCTCTCCGAACGAAACGACCACTAACTTCTTATCAACTTCTTAGAGAGGTCACTGATCTATTGACACCTGCAGCCCCAGAAAAGTGGGAGAAAGGGTTGGCTGCTTTTCTTGGCCCGCCTTCTTCGACTGTTGTGATTCTTAATGGACCTCGAAGCTTGCTCAGAATTTGTTTGCCTGAAGCCTGTCGAACCCTTCGGATCGATCATGGGAGCCAGTCTGGAGTTTCCACATGCACTTTCCTTCTGAGCTTTCAGTGGTTCCTGGACCTTGCTCGGACGACGATGAGTCAACCCACGGCCGGCAGCGTTCGGCGGCATGCCAGGGACTGATGCCCGAGCTCTGGAACGAGCTTTACTGCGAGCCAAATCAGCCATCATGTTCCTGGCAGCAGTTTCGATCCGATCTGAGGAGGACCAGATGAAACTGGCGGTCTCTGAAGCTCTACAAGCCGCAGCAGCAGCTTCTTTGGCAGCAGCCCGGGCGAACTCGATGCCAGAGACTCGAGCCTTGCTCCAGAGCTCGATGAGCATGTATTCCTCCTCGTCTGAGATCAAGCGTCTCTTGCACTTGTAATAAAGCTCGAGAGATAGCGACAGAGCCAGCATGCTGATATTGTTCTCACATGCGAGTCTGAACTCTGATCTCTTACACTTCAAACACACATAGTGTCGAGCTTCCGTCCAAATTAGGACCTCGCAACTATGTCGGTAGCAGCTCCACTGCTTCACAGCCACTCCACAATAGCTGCAGTGCAGAGCAATCTCCTGAAGCTTCTCGCCATACAGGGAATGCTGCATTCCGCAGCCAGAGCAGCAGCTGTCCATCGTTGACAGCCGAGCGCTAGGTTCCGAACATGGTACAGTTAGAAGCTCTCCGATGCAGATCCTGAAGTAGGAAGAACTATCGTAGAGCTTACCCGAACGCTCCGGCCTGGCTGCTTACCACACTCCCAATAACAAAAGCTTGAGCTTTCCCACAGCAGTACCTCGCGGCCTGGTCCATGTCACCACTGAACTCCACTCACCGGAGTGGCTGAAATACGATCCACCTTTTGACGCATGAAGTCGAAAGCTACGTCGTCAAGAAAACCATACTTCCTGGCGTCGTGTCCTTGCATCCCGACGTCTGAGTAAGATCGGCAGTCCAGCAATGCCAGAGCTGATTTTACAGAACCTGGTACCGGGATCCTAATTATCGTGCCCCCTGCCGCCGCTGCTGCTGCTGCTATTCAGCTTCTCCTGGTCCACGTTCAGGGGGGCTCCGCCGCTGAATCCGGGCACCAATTAAGTTGTTGGATAGAAATCAACCAACCACTCGCGGGATGGGATTGGAGCTTTTGCCGAATGGTGGGACTGCGCTCAATTTCTCGGTTGCTGCTGCTGATATAAACGATGCTCTCTCCTCGATTGCCAGCTCATTGCGTGTCCTTGACAATCAGAGCTGGGATCGATGCGACATTGCGGAGGACGACATCTCGGAACCGGATGGAACTTGATCCCGAACGAAAAAGAGCTCGTGAGAACTCCGTCCTGTCGAATCCTCTTCGGGATGCCGAGAAGGGAGCACCGCAGGGAGGGGACGGGCATCGAGACCACGGATGGAGATGCCGACTGTTGCCGTCCGCTCCTCCATGATTCGCAGTTGCGGTAATTCCGGACGGAGCTCGTTCTCAGGATTTGAACGCGAAGGGGTAATGATGGATGGATGGATGGAGCGCATGGGAGGTTTCAAAAGTACCGCACGCCCGTTGATAGGTTCGAGGCACCAACAAGCGGACTTTGCATGGCCGTGCATGCGCTCACATCGCCCAGTACAGCAGGAGCGTTTGACTTCCTGTAGTTACGGTCCACACCGCGTTTATTCAGAATTCCAGACGCGACAGTCCATTCGGTTTGCGTGGACTAAGTTCGACGAATTTGCATTTTCGTATTTCTCGCTGTTTTTATTAACATGAGAAAATAATATGGCTGACGCGTAAAGATTATAAATCTAGGCGGTCCGTAGGGGGTCGACACAGTAAGAGGGTTCACGAACATGACATAATCCGTTTAATCTAAGCACTCGTTGGTTTGGTGAATGCGGTGGGAAAGATCCAGACTGACGATTTTTTTTTTCTCGAGACGGCTTGTTTAGAGCAGCTTATCAAGCCGTCTTAAAGCAACATCTTCAAGAGAATGTAATGTAGACAGACCTCCAGAGCCACACATCTTAAAATAATGAAAATGTATACATTTTATTAAACTTCTAGCATATCTAAGATCGTGTAACGAACTTGTAATTTCTTACTTAGAAAAAAAATGTATTGCTAAGATGTTATTAATGTGAAGCAGAATGCTGCGTGTGGTAAGTGCATGTGCCGTTTCCCATATATTATTTTTGTAATTTTTATCATAGTAAATACATATATGCAACATTGATTTTTTATAGACTTATTAATGAGCACATTATTGTGTTCAAAACATTTTCCTTCACATGAGGGAATAATTCCGACTGCTTATCTATGCAAAGTTTGGTGTATATTTGCTATATGATTTATAACTATTTCATATCAAAATAGATATATACATCTACAAATGTAAAACTTTTTTCAAATAAAATATCTATATCCAAATTACTTGCAATTAATCATTTTGATACATATCACTGTTTTTTTGCATTAAAAACAGTGATATGTATCATCAATACTCAATTGCAACATTTATTTTCAATATTAAAAATATTCGTGGAAATTCGAGAAAAAAATTATAAGCATAAATTTATGAATTTAAAATATATTTTTCACTCGCATGTGTTTTTTTTATCTTTCACTTCATTATAATAGATTATTTTTAATTTTTAATATTTAATAATAAAGCTCAAAATCATGTGACAAAATGATGATAAATTTTTGCAATCATTATTTTATCTAATACTTTTAATAATAATATGCATTTCATTTAATTTCCTATGTTGATCATGCAAAATTTCCGTTAGATAAATATCTTATTAAATTTGCTACACGCATCAATATATATATGTATACCAAGTGTTTAAATAAAAAAAGTTTGTCGGCACGAGAAGGGAGGTGTGCAAAGTGTCGGTGTCTGGTTCGCAGCTGGAAGGTGACTGTAGTGCCTTGCCCGCCTGACCGTTTTAAATGAGGGAGGTGTCGTTATAGATAAAAGCTTGAGACGGTGACACACTTTGTAGTGCATTGCTCATTGTATCACAATCGAGTTGCAGAGCTGCGACACAAATTTGAAGGCCACTTAGCCGCCATATTCTAGTCAACTCTTGAGCTTAGCACCTATCGACCCTTCTTCACATCCAATAATAGTACGTGATCAACGTTCGGTGGGTTGATAAAGCCTGAAGTTACTCGAAACTGCAATCAGAACTACGTCAAGCAAGCAACCATTGGCAAGAGCTTCTGTTCTATGTAGTCAGTGTTTGGAGAAGAAACATAGACTAATTTGAGTTGCAAAGCTTCGGCACAAGTGAAGGATCTTAGGGATCACCAGAGAAGAAACATGATAATTCTAGTGTTTTCCGGCACGAAGGTGGAAGACCCGGAGTTGTTCTTGAGAAGCTACAAGAGAGCTTGCATTAGCACAAGCAGTCAAACATATGAAAGTTGGAGTACGTTTCTGCCAGAGTTTTTTGATAGGAAGGCATCTCAATGGTACAAGCGACAATCTGATAACACCAAGTCCTCTTCGGAACATGTGAGTATAGATTTAGTTAGAGAATTTGGAAGAAAAGATTCATATGAAGTACTCATTTGTGAATTGAGTCAAGTAAAGCATATGTTAGGGAAAAAAATTAAAGATTATACTGATAGAGTACAAAGTCTGTCAGATAGGTTGATGCGGAGTTTGCGTGCCCAAGGTCATACAGTTGATAATCCAATCTTTGAGGAAATAAAAGCTCTAGTGGTGAAACATTTCATGATTGGATTGTTACCGCAACTGCTGCAACAAGTCAAATATGAAGGTGTAGATACTTTCAAACAAGTTGTGTGTATTGCAAAAAAGAAAGAATCAAGCTTGGAAAATACAGCAGTAGTGATTCAAACCCATGTGACAAAGACTTCTCGTAAGCCATTGGAGGTTTCCTCATCGTCAGGAATATTACCTTGGCCACGGAGTGTACTTCACGGATGGAGGTTGCTATGATATGACTAGTGTCTCAAATGAGCGTTCATCTCCTTTAGCCTAGAAGCTCTTGCGGTGTAGAGCGGGACTCGAACAAGGTATAGTGCTATGCTTGCAAGCAAATGGGGCACATTTTGAAAAACTGCCCTAGTCGAGATGTATCAGACGATCGTAACGGATAAGGAGTACTTTTGCCAAGACGAGTGTCGTTTGCAGATGATAGTGGAAGGGGTCGTGATGGACATGAAGGACTTTTGCCAAGACGGGTGTCGTTTGCAGATGATAGTGGAAGCGGTCGGGTGAATCTGATTGAAGTTCAAGATGAGTTTTGGGAATAGAAGATTGATCACTTTAAGCAGTTTTTACGAAATGAGTTGGACGTAATGGCTGCAAAAAGAAGACAAGAAAAATCTCAACGTGAGAGTGTGAAGCGGATGAAGGAGATGTCGAGAGAGAAGGATCAAAACAGTCTCGACGTAGAAGATTCAATTTTCAAGATTTTTCCATCTCAAAAAATCATGGTTCATGTTCAAACTTAGACGACGTGGGAGGCAAAAAGGTAAACATTACTATTGGCCAACTTGTGGCCATGGTACCATCTGTTCGTATGGAGCTGACAAAGAGTTTGTCAGCGTATAAGGTTCCATCTATCCTATGTTTCTCAATACCATTGCAGTTGAACAGGAATACAATCCCATAATAGATGTTCGATGTGATGGGTCTATGCTTAGAGGCGTTCTAGTTGATGGAGGAGCGGGTGTCAATGTGATGACTAAACCAGCGATAAAGTATATAGGCCTTGAAATTGAAAGACCGTCGCCCATTACCTTGAAAATGGAAAACAAAAAAATTGTAAACCACAAGGTATGATTTCCAATGTTTGTATCAACGTTTTAGGTATTTTCACAACAATAGATTTTCACGTGGTGTTAGAAGAAAATGGATCATATCCCATGATTTTAGGTCAACCGTGGCTAACAAAGGCACATGTACAAAATTATTGGGATGAAGGCTATATGACGATTGGAAAGGAACCACATCGACAACACATTCCTTTAGTTCCTCTAGGAGGTGCACCATTGTCAAATGAATCCGACTCGGATTCAATAGAGGTTGATTACTTAGAATCAGAATGAATTCACACTGACGATTCTTCGGACGATGAGGTGGGACTCTACGCAATTGCAGCAATTCCAAAGGGAGAAGTTCCCCCCACAGAGGAAAATATCAGCAACGCCAACCAGGATGAAGACGATGTTGACAGAGGAGGAGATGACTTGAAGACTAAATCAGATTCGACTCTGGGCGGAATTGTCTCTTTAGGAACGGGAATGTTTCCGCCACCTAATACGTAAGTTCATTCATCTCTTCGCCTTCACTTACAAGGATTTACAAGAAGTTATTTTAGAAACACATCCAATTGAGCTTGTCCAGATCACGAAGTCAGTCCAACATAAACCTTATTGTATGAATTCCAAATTTGCTGAGGTATTGAAAGTAGAGTTGGAAAAACTACTCGAAGCTAGCTTCATCAGACTAGTGGAGAATACTAGATGGGTATCTCCCATCACGTTAGCACCTAAGAAAAATGGCAAGTTACGAGGTTGTGTGACCTACAAGAAACTCAACGATGTCACAAAGAAAGATAGGTATTCCATTCCGTTTTGTGACAAGTTTCTTGAGGAGGTGGAGGGACATGAACTGTCCTCTTTTGCGGATGGCTACAACGGGTACCATCAAGTGCGAATTGCGGAGGAAGATCAATTGAAGACCACGTTCATGTCACCATGGGGTATCTTCTGTTATGAGGTAATGCCATCTGGACAAGATGTTGTAATAAATTGAGTACGTATCGGCATTTTGTATGCTGCTATTTTCATTGCAGCTCTAGTAATATTTTCAGATACACCACTAATTTCATAAAGTATTTTTCCAGGTTTAACTACAGCTATTCAATATTCTTGAGATCCTTTACCAGATCCCATTCGTGTTTCTGCAGGTCGAATAGTTATTGGTTTATCAGGAAATATACGAATCCATAATTTACCACCTCGACGAGCGTAACGAGTTATAGCTCTGCGACCTGCTTCTATTTGTCGAGATGTTATCCAAGAGATCTCGAGTGCTTGAAGGGCAAATTTGGTCTCTGCAATGCTCTGGCTACTTTTATGAATTAAGTTCTAGAACCGTACTTAGTACACTTTGTACCAGTGTTTATGAATGATTTTGGAATTTATGGAGAAAAGGCTTCTCACTTTGAGAAGTTAGAGAAGGTTTTTGAACGCTTGGATGAGTAAGGAATTACATTTAGTTAAGAAAAAACTAAGATTAGATTTTCATCTGATAGATTAGTGGATCATATCGTTTCCAAGGAGAAAATTGATATAGATCCGGAGAAAATAGAGGCTATTGTAGAAGCGCCCTTCTGTACCACCAAACGTGGAT